AGAGCTACAGAACAAGTATTTGTATATATAGAAATTTATCTTAAGAAAATAAGGTTTGGTTATAAGTATGTTCATCATAGTCATTTTACAATCGTGGAAAAATGCGAACTTAGATGTCCAACCATAGGAGATGGATTTTTTTTTTAAAACTACAGTACATCCACACTACAACTATTGTTGGAGATATAAACTGATGTTCACAACATGTGTATGAGAAGTGAGTATTAGAGAATAGAATGTATTTACAATTCCCTTTTTGTGGGAGAAATTTTAGAGTGCCCTCCGCATAGCTCTTTAAACAAGAATCTGTCCTTAGAAAAACATACACAGAAGCTGTGACGGTGATTGTATCTGGGGGGCAGGACTAGAGTTGCTTGTCCTGTTCTCTGATTTACCTGGCCCATGTACTGAAAGTGAACAGGCCGGGAACTTGGCCCCCCTTGCCCTCTAAGCGTGTACAGTGTTTAGGCTGACTGTTCTCATTTTCTCCCACTCCTCACCTCCCCATCTGCAGATGAAGAAAGTGGCCCATCTATTCGGGCTTAGTTTCTTGGAGGCCACCGGATGTTCCACTTCTCACCTGCAGGGCTGGGAAGCAACTAAACAGTGTGAGGATCTTGGCTGTCCCAGCCGTGGGATGAAACTCGCCTCGCAGAGCTCTGAGATCTGCGTGCTCACTTTCCGTGTTCTCCCCCCGCCGTCTTGCTGAGTTAACATTTATACTAAATCGCCTGCAATCAAAGAGTAGAGATCTTATCTTCACTTTATTGATTGCAGTGACCTTCTTAGCTGACCCTCAAGTAATTTAACCCATGTCCTAATGTTCCAATTAAAATCGTATCAAATGAGTGAAATTGGATTTTCCTTTGCATTTTCTGCAAGCTTTCCTTACCTACGCAGCTCTAAGCATATTAGCTTCTTACTCATGTAGCACAGTTAGGGTTCTGAGGCATGAAGTGGTATATTAAATGGCATTTCTACTCATTCAATATGTATTTATGAGCAGTTACTACTTGAAGGGTGAAGAAATGTGTTAGCCAGGCCACCCGCTTCCCAAGGCTGTGGGGAGGAACAGGGATCACACGCGCTGCAGCCAGGTCCCTGGTGGCGCCGTGTGCGAGGTGCAGCTCCAGGAGCCCAGGGGCACAGAGCAATGCCCACAGGCCGCTGCCACCGAGGAGCTGTCTGTACAGGGGAACTGGGGCGAAGAGCTGTTCTAATACAGGGCGTGCTCTGACACCTTAAAAGAAGTATAAATGAAAGACACACAGACACACACATTTTTATGTCACTGGCGGGAGATGTACTCTTTCACTAGAGACGTCAACAAGGACGCTGTGAAGGGGGTGGCATCAGACCGGGACTTTTTTGCAGGCTGTGATTTTGTATTTAAAAATTAGTCAAAATTCTGTCAGATTTCTAGTATTTTACGGATTACTTTGAAGGGCCCAGACAGCAACTTAAGTGTTTTTCTTAAAGTAAGCTTGAAAGTCAAATTATTTGAAGTTTAACAACTTTCAGATGAGGCTGCCAATCTTGCTCACACAACACATCCCAACATTTAAACTTTCAGTGTTAGTTAGGATAGTCCTCCTAGAAGTTAGTGACTCTAAATTCCTCCCAATAGTGTTTAGGTCTGCCTTCCTTTTTCTGGTCCTTATAAGAAAGAGGAGAGAGCAAGTTCTCTCCCTACCGTAGGCGTGCCTACTGTTACAGACTGGACTGGCTTCCCCAGGACACATAAGTTGAAACCCTAAGCCTCAGTACCTCAGAATGGGACTAAATTTGGAGACAGGGCCTGTAAAAAGGAGATCAAGGTAAAATGAGGTCATTAGGCTGGGCCCTAATCCAACCTGACCAGTATCTTTGTAAGAGGAAATTTGGACACAAAAAGACATCAGGGATGCACACACACACAGAAGACAGACCATGTGAGGACACAGTGAGAGGGTGGCCATCGGCCAGCCAAGGAGAGGGGGCTCAGAAGAACCCTGTCAGCACCCTGATCTTGGACTTCCAGCACCCAGAACTGTGAGAAAATAGCTTATTGTTGTTGAAGCCATCAAGTCCGTGCTATTTGATTGTGGCAGCCCTAGCAAAGTAATACACCTACCATCTGAAAGCATCTAGAAAATTCCATGCTTTCATCAAATTTTTATTGAGCACCTACAATGCGTAAGAGACATAAAAGTGTATAAAATGGTTACGGACATTAACAAACTCTTTTGGGGAAATAGAATCTGTAAATACAATCATGGAAAAATAATAAATGAAAAATGCCTCACATGTGGTGCACAACGCCAAGGGGTTCAGAGGGGAAGCAATTGGCCAGTATCAGGGACCCGTGCAAGGCTCCCCAGAAGAGGACTGGAACTGGGCCAGGGCGAGATGGCCGCCTAAGGCTTTTTTACGACATGGTCACAGGAGGAAAATACTCCACACGGAGGACAACGGGATGAAAGGACCGGGGCATACTGGAGAAATAAGTTAGTCTAAATATTAGACTAAATGTACGAAAATAATAAATCTGACCGCTCAGGGCCTACAAAGTGACTCTGTATTACATTACATTTTATAAGCAAGAAGTAGAATGAAATTGAGCTATAATTGTTTAAGACAAATGTTCTTCTAAAAAGCACAGAAAATTTTATCTGTCAAGTTTCAGGGATTTTCTTTTGTTACTGTTGTGAGTAGGTATCTTAATGTTCAGATTTGAAGATTTCTAATTAGAACAAATGACCTCATCTCCCATCACACTTTACCTCCCAGAGATATTTTTACATCTTATTAGCTTATTCTTAGAAAAGAAAGACATTTAGGTCCTTAAAATTAGTATTAATTGAACATAAGAAGAGAATTAACAGTTTCTCTACTTTTAACTTTCTAAGAAGGTAACAAAGTTTTAAAGTACATAATTCCTGATTATCAGTAATAGCCTATTTCGTCAGTTCTAAGATGTACTTTTTTTCACATTTCGGTATTTCTGAAATAAAACACATCTTAAATTTAACATGCACGATTAAAGAGTTAATGGAGTTTTCCCCCTGAAAAGCTAGGATTACATCAACAGTACATTTTACAAGTGATGGTATCTTAAACGAAGGACGTCTGGTGATGACAGGAACCACTGTCCATCAGCACCCACTTCTACAGCAGTCACGGTCCCTTGGGTGTCTGGGTTGCGGGGGGAACATCAGTAGATTTCACTGTGCTCTCGTGGACACCACAGAAGCTAGGCAATGTCCATATCCACGCCTGAACCAGAGAGGGCAGCCCTCACAATGGTCCCACAAGACGCCTATCACATGGTACTAGTCCCATCACCAAAGCAACCCACGCAGAAAAGGGGGCAAGAGACGAGTTTCCTGATGCTTCAGTCTGGGAGCCCGGTGAACCTTCTGGTGTTGCCCGAGGCGCACAACTGCCGCTGCAGTGACCGGGGACCCGCAGTGACCGGGGACCCGCCTGAGTATCCCACAGCAGGCGTCAGGCAGTCCTCACTTAAACACCCGACGGGACTTAAATACCAGATGGGGAGCAGTGCTTCTGCCTTTACTCACAAGGCCCCAGCTAAGCCCAAGCAAAGATGCCTCCAGACTCGCTCTGAAACAGGTGTTTGGGAATGAGAAAAGTCATTATGCAAATACGAGCCATTCGAAACTGTTCAGTCGTCAGGAGATCATGTCAGATATGTAGCAGAGAAATGAGGAGATGAACTTGGAGTTTGTTCTCGGAATTCAAACTACCCCGCTCGGTGCTGTGATACTCGACCGCCAGGCGATCACCATCGGGCTCCAGAGCCATCTTCACTTGCTGGCGTTTCTCACCGACAGCGGGCCTGGGGCCCGCTGGGAAAGCATACATATGTCATCAGAAAAACAAACCCGAGGCAGAACCGTTACCATCTCCATTTTGAAAACGAAGAAACAGAGGCTTCTAAAGAGAGAATAAACTGGCTCTCCCACCCTCCCTCTCCCCACAGAGTAAAGGCTGTCTGAGGACATGGCAAGAAGGTGGCCATCTATAAGCTGGGAAGAGAGCGCTCACCAAAAAAAATGGACCTGCCTGTTCCTTGATCTGGGTCTTCAAGCCTCCAAAACAATTACTGTGGAACTTATGACCCCTGGAGAACTTACATGAAGTGCCCCTTGACAAGCAAATGCCTGAGATACATTAAAACTTCGTGTATGATCAAAACAGGACAAAACTAAATCAGGAACATGGACTAAATCAGGAACTACTTACTGCAAGCACTGGGTGTGCAGTAGGGATCCACCGGTAAGTGATGATGAGACAGATGGGTCCCTAAGCTGGGCCCACCACACAGACCTCTCTTTCCCCAGTCAGGTTCCCTGAATTCCATCTGCACAGCCCAGCACAACCTTCGGCTGCAAGTCATGCACTGACCTGTAAGGAGGGATCTGAGATACAGCACCAAGGAACACTGACTGAAAGTCTGTCTCTACTCCTTAGCTAAGATCGAGAAACCGTGTCTCTTTTTTATTGCTAAGGACTAGTCTGGTTTTTCACCTCATTTCTTTACATCATTGTGAATGTAAACAACAAAAATCTCTGGAGGCAGATTCTTATGTTGAAGTCTGAAGTCAGTCACTTTTACCAACTTTCCAAAGTGTGAGAATATTACTTTATATACCCAAGAATCAATACCCTCAACTGTAAAAAGCATATATCAATACTATCTTGAAGGAAACAATAAATTAGTTCAAAGATAAATAAAGAGTGAATAACCTGGCCAAGGACATATTGCCAGGAAGCGTCAGTCAGAGTAGTAATAAGGAGATGTAATCACGGAACCGTTCTGCCTTCCGCACTACTTTTATAAAGAAATAAATTTACTGCTTAGGTTAAAAGACGACTGATGGAGCAAAACCTAAGTCTAAACACCTCACTCAATCAACAAACATTTGGGTGATTCTATACCATCAAAGGACAATGGCAAAAAGTACTGGAAAAAGAAATATTTAATAATAACATAACCATAATTATAATCTTTACGTCTTTAGACCACCTTTGTCAAAATTCCATCATTTTCAGATTCTGTCTGAAAATAAATGTCATTGTAATTCAGTGGGGCTTAAGCCACTGTACAATATTTTAATATTTAATTTAAAACATTTCTTACTTAACATTCTTATGTAATATAAAACTTCATTTTCATTTCCTTCTGACACTGCAAAAGAAAGCTATACACCCACTTTTCAGATAACAGAGGCTAAAATAATATGATTAAAAGGGATTTAAAGAGAGAAAAAAGACACAGAGAGACAGCTAGTGGACCAGCTCAGGATGGGACCACTCACCAGGTCTCCAGAGACACTGCGGAGGGGCTTATAAACCAGCAGACATCATCTGCCTATTATGTAGCTTAGAAAGGTGCACACCTTTGAAAGTGACAGAATTTAAGTCCAGCATGGCACTTTCAGAAAATGACATCAAAGGTTGGGCTATAAATCTTTCTTATTCTCAAGTCACTAGACATTAAGAGCAAAGATTCTGACGGACTCTTTCTCTCCTTTTCTTCTTCTTTTTAACAGATGTATGATTCACAGGTTGTCCTTTAGTGGTCTCCATTTTCATCTTATTACTTTTTCTTTGCTTCTGCTTTCTGACAGCTCTGAAAAACAAAGTGCTAAATTATTTTGTATAATGAGCACAGTGAGTAATGTAATTAGGTTGAAGTTTAATTAACTAGCTAACCAAGTAAGTAAACAGAAGGGAAAGGATTTACTGTATTATAAACATAAATCCTCAGAATCCTAACCCAGAATAACAAGGAGATAGTCAGAGGCCTGGCCAAGCCAAATATTTGAGAAAAGAAATTTCTTTGAGAGATGGTTACTATAGATTTAGAACAATCTATTCAGGATAAACACACAGTAGAGGTAAACAGGCAAGCCAATGAGTTTGGAGTGTTTTTGGTTTTGTTTTGTGTTTTTTTATTTTCCCCACATCTATACTGCTCAAATCAGCACTTCAATCTCCAAATCCCTGAATTACATTTTTCAGAAAAAGGACAGATATATTCTTGCAATTAACAGAGGTGGAAAATGAAATAGCATGAGAGAAAAAAATGGACAACACTTAAGGAGGTTCATCTTCTAAGTCCGATGGCTAACTTCTCTTGCCTCAGTAGACCTAAAAGTCCGCATGAGTGCTATATGGGATGTCCACATTTTGTGGCCTCTGTCTTCTTGAAGACTGGCTTCAAAATGAGTAAGCTGGAACTCACCCTCTAAAAACACTAAACCACACCAGAAAAAAAAAAAAACAGACCTTTTGTTTCTGATATGTTCTGAACTGGCTTAAAGGCAATCTATCGCAGAAAAAGATTGCTGGTCTGTTCATTCACTTTCTCCAAACTGTCAGAATCATGCCATTTATCATATCACACACCAAGGAATGAACTGGGGCTGCCAGCGAGGCAAACCTGGAACCTTCTCATGGCTACGCAGCAATATTAATCTTTAGATTTATTTTCCTAAACAGCAACAAGCCCCTGGGAAAAGCTTACTCTTGATACTGTCAGGACCAAGACCTGGGAAAGGAGCTTCGTAAAAAGTATACAATCCCCCAGTAAACGAAACTCAGGCCTCACTTTTTGTTCATTCAGCATCCATGTTAGGTGTTGGGAATACACAAATGAATGGGCGCATCTTTGACTCCAGGGAGCTGGAGACAGAGAGACAAGGAAGGTGTCGCCCTTCCCTCTCCTTCCCAACTTCCTTTAGGGGAAGAAATTGAGGCTATGAAATCATTGAGCGCGGAAGTGGCAGAATGAGTTTGATTCTAGAACCTACACTCTTACCTACTTGATACTATCTGCTCTATTATAAATTATTTAGGTGTGTTAAATGCTAAGCATACAGTAATCGCTAAATAGTATTAGTAGCGCTATATGACTATTACTCAAAATTTTGTTTGACAACTTTAAATTTTTCTGTTTTTAGATTTTGCACTATGGGCTGGGGTATCCTACCAGTTTATAAAATAAATAAAACAATCATCTTTTTACTGTTTTGTGCATGTTATATAAATCTCCTTTCCCTCCAGCTTTTTTTTTTAAAGTAGGATAATGTCCTGATGTCCTGATAAGTGATAATTTTGCAAATTTAATGAAGTATAAACTCTTAATGACAAAGTCAATGAAGCTATGCATGCCTATATACAAAATTTAAACAAATTTCCTTTGGCTTATCCACTTAGAAGAAGAACTAAACAGGAACCAGATTTTACTAGAGGATACAATAACAAAAACAGAAAGAAAACATTCACTTATAATGCGAATAAATAAAAACTTTCCAGAGATAAAGTTTTTCAACAGTGAAGCGGCTGAGTATAAATCAATTAATTGTTTTATTTGGCCTTGTAATTAAATTGACCTAGTACTTGTCCTCTAAATTATTGGTATTTATGTAACTGATAAAATGAGCTTTAACCACAAGAGGGAGCCAGCATCATTCCAGTTCAAAACCAAAGGAAAATTAATACTAAGGGAAAGCCAATTAATATGAGAGCTATAAAAATACGTGAGATGAAAAGATCTGTTATGTTATGTATGCTAAAATAGGCTATTAAAATTATTTTTTTCTGTTGTTAAAACAGGTTTTGCATTTTCAATTTCATTATAAAATTTTTTTGAAAGCAATAGCTTAAGATAACTGTTAACAGGAGTTTGGCAGTTTTCCCCGCGAGAAGTACCACATCCTAAGGGATTTGCTCTTCGAATTAAACTTGATAAAAATCTAGTACTAAAAGATATTAGATGGTTTCCCTCAACGAAAACAATGTATTACTACCAAACAGACCAGCCAGGGCTATTAAAGAACCAATCTAGTACCAAAATGCAAATTCAGCTTCCACGTTTCATAAGATCACAGAATCCAACACTGAGCATGTTACTAACTCCTGTTTGCAGCCACAATTACATTGCAAACAGTACAACAATCCCAGAGCAATGGTTCATTCTGGAAGGTTTCTGAGGAAAACTACTTTGTAAGATTCTTCAATATACTTCTTTTAATTAATTAAAAATATACCACTTCTATCCTGGATTACTTAGTGGAAATAATTATTTAAAAGTAAATTTGATAAAAAAAAAAAAGTCATGGAAAAGACAGTTTAAATAGTAGGCAGAATTCAAATGGCTGGAAGTTAATGGAACAAAAACATTACTGACAAAAAAAGAAACAAATGAGAAAGAATTCTAATATAATCATAGTTACCAAAAAAACTGGATACTTCTATTATTAATAGATATATTTTTAAATCACAAGTCAGATGATAGCTCATAATTTGATCCTGATCTCAATTCCTGTGTAATGTTGAACTGAGCTATCTGGTTTTCTTTTTTTAATTTTTATTTTTGTATTCTCCCGTTACCATTTAACCTCCCTCCCTCCTGCAATCACCACACTGTTGTCCATGTCCATGAGTCCTTTTTCCTCTTCGCTTGATCCCTCCAACCCCCTGATGTCCCCCCACCAAAGCTGTCACCCTGCTCTCCATCTATGAGTCTGTCTCTATGTTGCTTGTTAGTTCGGTTTGTTCATTAGATTTTGCATATGAGTGAAATCACATGGTATGTCTTTCTCTGACTGGCTTATTCACTTAGGATGTTCTCCAGGTCCATCCATGCTGTCCCAAAGGGTAAAATTTTCTTCTTTCCATATCAATAAAACAAGAGGACTCAATACCCTTTCAGTTAAAAAAAAGAAAGTATAATCTTTCAAGTTAGCCCAGTTGAAATAGCAATGGTTTTTTTTAAATATGTGACTGTCTTTGGTATAACTGTGCTCATAGTTATATCTAATACCAAACATTGGTGAGAGAAGGGAAATTACGATAGAAAAAAGGTAAAAATTAAAATGTGAAGTATTTCAATATTAAATGTCTACATGTTTTTCTTGAGGACTAATTTAAAGGAATAACTTCATTTTCCAGTGTGCCCACTGTGGAATTATACATGCCATTCTATCTGAGATGCCTTCTCCAGCCTTGCCCACCGTCATGTGTCTACGGCCAATCTGTGCTGAATTAAACATCGCCTCCTTGAATAAAATCTGAACTCTTACCCCCCAAATTATAATTTCACATTAACCACAGGAAATATAAAATTAGTCACCTTCACCTTCTACCTTATATTTTGGGTATTTCCATGTCTTATCTGGGAAATTCTAAGCTCCTGGACTCATTGTCATATCCTCCCTCCCCCCATCCATGCGAACCACGCACACCAGTGAAAACAACAGTTAATTTAGCCCTTCTGAATCCTCTGTTACACACTGTTGTAAATTGCTCTGTACAGATCACAAAAGGAAAACTTTTTTCTAGTAAATTAAAAGAACTCAACTAACTTGTTAACTTTCTTAGGTGTAGAGATGTCAGGACAAGTACTGCGTTTATGATCTAATTCACCACAAATGAAGCAGCCATCTTTAGGGCCCTCGCAAGAATGTTCTGGAAGAGCACAGTGATTGCAAGTGCTGCAGTGGATCCAGGCTGTAAAATAAAAATTTCATTTTAGAAGAGGTTCATTTAATATAATTTCTCATTTGATTAACCTTTGTAATAGGGAAGCACGAACAGTGTTTACTTTGATTATTGTGACGGATTTGCATAGCTGGTTATAATTTGGATAAAGAGCCCAAAGTTAAGAGGTTGGAATCCCTTGCAAAGCCAGCTCATGTCCTTCTGAGACATGGCAACGAATTTAGCCCCTCATTAATGAGTCGCAGTCTTGGGGCCACAGACATATGGCGGCTGGCGGAGTGACACAAAGCCCAATCAAAATAAGTCAAACCACATGCCACACTGAAACAGGTGAGTAGTCATGCCTCTCTATGCAGTGGAGAATGTACATTTTGGTAATTGTAAAAATTACAAAGCAAGTAAATTAATACAGGTCTCTATATTAATTTTCTCTTTTAATAATATAGGTAAATACAAATCCCATATAGATGAAGAAAAACTCAAATGTTTTCACAGGATCTCAAACACAGTCTAAATACTTACAAGGTTTTACACACTTTTTGCAGAGAAAGCAATGGTTCCATTTCCTACCATCCTACAAAAACAATTTTTAAGTTATATTTAATTTGTCATTAAAAATCAAGTCCTTCAATTAAAAATTAAAATGTCTTATTAAAATCTGTATAAATTATTAATTCCTTATTTCTCACTTTCCTGGGCTTCGTAATTACATACTTTGATTTTAATTTATGCATTTCTTCGCTCAACTCAATGCCTCATTGATGGGCCCGAATTTCCTTAACTCTAAAACTGGGGGGTTTATCTAAATGATCTTGAAAGTCCGCTCCAGATCAAGTAGCCCAATCTGCATAAAGAAGGACTCAATGAAAATTTCAAGAGAATGAATGATTCATAATTTTTATGTGTCTAGCCAGTTTAATCCTTAATAAAATTCATATTTGAGAACTGTATATAATTTAGAAAGACAGAGATTATAGGATACTATTTGGGTAATTTTTAAAACTGTGAAGTAAAACATACCTAGAAAAGTGAACAAAACACATGTGCCCAGTTTAAGGAGTATATAAAATACTCCATCGGGTCAAAACCAGAACACTGCTGGCCCCCCAACACCACCTCACGGGCCCCTTCCCACCCCAGCTTTCCGCCTTCCCCACTGAGTAACACCTACTCTCGTTTTTGTGGTGCTCACCTCTCTGTTTTTGTTTATTTTTAACACTATGTGTAATAAAGTTTTATTTTCTACATTTTGAACTTGCATGTTCTGGGCATCATTTTTTTTAAATGAAAAATACAGATAATTTCTACTTGAATTGAAAATATATGTAATCAGATGTGTTAACATAATTAAAAACCAGTATAACTAGAAATAAAATTATGAAGTTGTGAAAAATGTACTTTCTAATAGTTATAAAAACGCATCCTTTCCTTTGAAGAATAATATGTGCTGATCGGCCAAACTAAACTTCACATGTTCTTTCTGACTGGATTTATTTAAAATAACAGAGCGACTTAAGGGTGGCCCCACCTCCCTAAAAAATGAAGAGAAGGTCCTGTCCCATGAGGCCCTTCCTCATCTGTAAGAAGTGAGGAGAAGCTGCATCTACCTACTCGGGCTATTGAGAGCAGTAATGGTTAGTCTGTGGACAGCTCTTAGGAAAAGGCCCGGCACATAAAAAGTGCATAAAACATGTTATTAATTATAATTTCGCCAGAACAGCGATGGTATCTAATAGTTCATTGCCTTATTTGAAACATCATAATTCTGCGCTCGACAAAATTCGTGCCTTATTTAAAACACTAATAATTTTAGCAGTCATACAGTACCATATAAAAATTACTTCAAATAATTATTAATGATGTGTCACATGCCATTGCGTTGGCTCCACTCCCGCTACCCTCTGACTGAGCGATGTCCACAATGTCCTGTCCCCAGCAGCCCTGCTCAGCTCCTTCAAACTCATGCCATTGGCTTCTTTTAGGGAGTCAATGCATCTGCTGTTTGGTCTCCCTCTTTTCCTGCTGCCTTCTATTTTCCCAGCACTGCTGTCTTTCCAAAGAACCCGGCTTTCTCATCATGTGCCCAAAGCAGGACAGCTTCAGTTTGGTCATTTTTGCCTCCAGCAATGTTTCAGGCTTAGTGTGCTCTAGGACCCTCTTCTTTGTCTAAGTAATTTTAAAAGCCTGTTGTACTTTACAATTAGAAATAAAATTATTAAAGTATAAATAATACATAAGACATTAATACAAATTAATAACATTAAATAAGTAAACATTAGTTTACTAGTAATGAAAACTAGTAAACTAAAATAAAAATAATACTATATTTGAATAATGGCATATTCTAAAGAAAACTATACCTTGGACGTGCAAGAATTACAGTGCTCGCAGTGCTGATTCTCTAGGGAAACATATCGTTGACACAGAGGGCAAAATCTGAGGAGGAAAGAAAGACATGGAGAAATAAGCTGCATATTCAAAAACTGGGTGTAATCCAAATTTAATTCAATACAAAATTTTGGGCCAAAGTTAAAAGTAATAATGCTGTGAGTCAATGTTAAAAGTATTGTAATGTTAGCTCTATTGCATTGTATTTTCAGTGGCTTGCGTATTTCAAGGTCCCATTGTGACCTTACCTGTACCCTTCTTCGACAGGAAGGACTATTTTGTTGGGTGGAATATTGGTGAAAATACGCACAGGAGACTGTTTCCGACCGGTCTTTCCATGTTTATAAAGTGCGTGATTATCATAATCTACCTGGAAAGTTTAAAAAAATTGAAAAAGAAAATTTGCTCAAATGAGTCAATGCTCTTTAAGATTCTTTAACCAATAAATGAACAAGCTGATGCCAAGATACAAGTTAAAGTGAAGTATTTGATATGAAATTGTGAAAAGCAAGAATTTACTTACTAATTAGCTGCCTCAGAATGGCTTCTATGGGTGTGAAATTTGATTATAAAAATGGTAAAGTTTGTGATGACACATTCATACTGCCTAGCACTGAGAACAACTCTAACCTTTTTATCCAAGAGAATAGACTTTACAAGAAAGGCTCTTATATAATTAAAAATTAAGCTTTTGTAAAAAGTACAAATTGGTAGTCACAAAATAGTGGGATGTAAAGTACAGCACAGGGAATATAGTCAATAATATTGTAATAACCACGTATGGTGCCAGGCGGGTACTGGAAATACATGGGGGAGGACCACTATGTAAAGTATATGACTGTCTAACTGCTGTGCTATACACCTGAAACTAATACAAAGTAATATAGAATGTAAACTGTAATGGGAAAGCAAAAAAATTTTTTTAAAATAATTTAGCTCTTGGTGCTAAAAAAAATTCCACCTTTGAAGATACAGGCCAGGTTGGTCGGGGCTTTCCGCGTGGTGTGTGTGAAGTTCAGCACACGGCCACTTCCAGCTCACCAGCGCCCAGTGCGGCCTGTTCGGCCCCCCACCGCGCCCCAGCTGACAGAGCACAGGGCTGGAGTCCGGGCAGGAGCTCTGCTGCTCGCTTGTTATGTGGCCTTGAGCCAGGCTGCATAATTTTCACCTTAGAGATGTTGTGAAGGTTGAATGATAAAGTGCATGTAAAACACCGAGTTCAGGGCCCGGATTATGGTTGAGAGAGACTCCTAACTACAGTTCTCTGTACAATGATGACTTCACACATTTACCTCTCTTCTCAAGATTCCTAACTCAACTTTCAGTTATCAGCAGATCATCTTGAAAGTAAACTGAAGCTAACAAGCATGACTTCTGTTAGCTTCCTGCTCCTGTCCCTCCTCCAGCCTCTCTATTATCCATCCACATTTTCAATTTGTTTTAAACCTGCTCGGGACCCACCCGGCCACTTAGTCCCTCTGTCTTTAGATCAGTAATTCTCAGGCCCACAGTCTGGATGGCCGAGGGTCTTGCTAGGAATGCAGATTCTCGCCCCATCTAGGACCTAATAAAACAACTCAGGGTGGGGGGAGGGAAGCAATCTGTATTTTTCACAAGCCCTGCTCGCTCACTCAGGTTTGAGAGCTACTGCGTTAGATTTCCTGGAAAAATACCATGAATTTTTTATGAGGTCAATACAGGTAGATCACGACTTTCAAGTAAGTTGTAATGAATTGTTTAGATTCTAAACAAGAATATACTTAAGAATTTACAACAGAACTGGCTCGAAAGCTAGCTGTTTAATAAGCCAATCACAAAAAATGTACAGAATTGATGACAATGGCAAGCCAGTCCTTTAATGGGAGAGTCCTAAACTCTCTTGGTGGCCCTGTTAGATTTACAGGGGGAAAAATAAGCTTCAGCAGTGGGAAAAAAATAAGCACAGGATGAGGAGACCCAGCTAAACAAGGACAGTATGAAAAAAACCCTGCGGGGGGGCGGGGCGGGGTTCTGTGAGCTGTCAGAGTGAAGAGTCCACAGTCCAGCATAACTAGGTAAAGCTACAATGAGGCTGGATCACATCTGAAGCCCCACATTGTCACTACATTTTAAGAGAGACATTAATAAAACCAGCTTATTTCCACTGAAAAGTAATGGAAATGAATAGGATTTAGAGTTTAATATATTGGTGGTGTTTACTCAGAAGAGAAGACAGGGAGGATCTGATAGCTACTTCCTAACTGACGGGGTGTCATGTGGAATGGAAATTAGCCTTATCCCTTAGTGCTTCAGAGAACAGAAGTAGGACCAATGGTTAGAAGTTAATAGGGAGCATATTTTATCTCAATATGAGAAAATGTTCTAACAATTAGAGCTATTAAATAAATTACGTTGCCGTGGAAGGCTGTAGGACTGTGCGCACTGAAAGTATTCAAGGGAGCTAGATGGCTGCTTATCGCGAATTGAGCGGAGAGGATTACTACACGGGAAAGTTAGCCTACGTTTCCTCTGTTTCTTTCCAACTTTCAAATTCTGTGAATATATGTGAGCTATTAGAGGCTTAGATACAAAAGTAGATTTTACTTCAAAATCACCTTAAAATAGTACCTTCGGTAGTTTTCTTTTACAGTGATTTAAATTCCTAATTTTCCCCATTGCACTCCTCTTTGTACTCTATAAATATATGGCACCTTATTAAATTCAACAAAGACACTTTGAACATTTATGAGCGTCATAAGAGAAAAAATTCTTTCCAAGAGAATCTTAGAAAGATTATCTTAGAGTATCTTAGAAAGATTTCTAGCAAATGGAATATTCCATGCAATATAATAGATAGCAGATGGAAGAGAAGGAAAAAAAAGAACAATTTCTTTACGGTTACCCAAGGAGTCAGAGAATGTATGTGTCAGGAAGGTGGTTGATTGCTTGATTTTGCATAACCTAATTGAGATTATTATTATTTTTAAATGCGGGTTTGTTGTGCTAATTAACTATAAACATATGGTATGTAAAATGCATGCTGCTCGGGTAAATTAATGTACCTCTAACATACATCCATATTTCATAGCTTCATCCACACAAATAAACCTCCTATGGAAGCTCTGTAAAGCAAACACAATTTTGCAAATTGCCTATCACTAGTGGTAGAGCTGATACACCATTTTCCCATCATTATCCCTGACATTTCACTCACAATGATGATGAGAGGCATTTTCAAATAGAAAATTTCTCCCATGGAACTGATTAATGTGATGAAGTACTGTATAGAAATGAGGGAAAGCACAAAATCTCTGCACTTCCTAACTTTTAATTTTATCTCTACGCAAATTTCTTCTGTACCGTGAGACTGAAACTAGTTATACAGAAACCAAGACATTCAAGGCAACAGACATTTGTTTTGAACCTACTACGCTCCAGGCATGACGCTGGGGAACAAAGATTGAAAAAAAGAGTACTTGTATTTTCGTAACTCCCTGAGGACTGTGTTCTATTTAGATTAATTTCAGTATATTGAAAAGATCCCAAGTAAACTAATTCCTCAACTCTATCAACCAACATACAAGGTCTTTTACTCATATTCTCCATATCCCATGTAACCTCATTTAAAACTACTATATACAGCATGGGGCAAAAGTAGGTTTACAGTTGTTCGTTTGGAAAATAATACAACAATTAATAAATAATAATACAAGAATAAAGTCTGTGTTTTGAGTACTCACAACTGTAAACCTACTTTTGCCCTATACTGCATGTATACTTTTCCGCTTGCCACTCCAAACCCACTGAATGTTTTATTACATATTGAGTCTTAAGAATTTCAGTTGCTATCTTTTAATTTATAATCCTATCTCAGAAATTCCTGTCAAAATATCTTCATTTCTAAACATGACACTGCACTCAAAAAAGTTTTCTATGAAATGATTTAAAAATAAAAATAGCTAAAAAAAAAAAAGCGAAGAGCTCCATTTGAACAGTCCAGAGAAATGCCCCAGATGAAGCAAAAATAAGAGATCATTTAACACGTTCGAGGTGGAAGGGGAGTGAGGTGATCTAGTTCAGAGCCGGCGAACGCGAGGCCCGAACGCCATCACTGCCTGGTCCTGGCCCTGGGACAGACGTCGCTCATCAGTCACACTGCTGTCACTGGGCCTGCTGTTCTCAACAAATCCTCCTCAAAGTCAGGACCAATTAACTTATCAGACTTAGCGCTAGAAGTGAAACTTACCTGCCACCCCTTTTCTGGTTCCATCATTTAATTTTATTCGATAGGAAAGGAAACAGAGACGTGGGAAGATAAAGTGACTTCTCCCAAGACTAAATAGCCTCTAAAAGCAGTGCTAGAACTCAAACTTCTGACTCTAAATCAGAATTTCTTTTCATCGTCACGTCCTTCCTTTCTAATCCACCCTAATAAAACACTTGGCTTCCCAGGTCTTTGATAACTATTTCATTTTGCACTTATCAAGTACTTTATTGTCGAAGAGTCTACATAAGTTATGTTTTATGAAGATCTGCAGTATTTCTGTCTTCCTCCTACCTGAAAAGTATTTAAAAAAGAGATTTACTGATTTTTGTTTATTTTTACTGCATTGTGGTTTGGGGGCTTATAATCCTCTCAGGCAATGTCAAAAAGAAGGCCTAATCAAAGTCTATGAGGGAAAGATATGTGAGAAAAAGAGGGAAAAATCTCATTTTTATTTGATAAAGGTGGCTAACATAAAAGTTACCACAAAATGAGGTTAAAGTAACCAAAGAAAGAAAAGAAAGCAAAAGGCCCAGAAGGGGTGATGATGATAATAATAGTAAATCCAGATAAATTTTCAAAAACAAAGGTACAAAAATCATGAAAGGGGAGGTACAACAAATAAAGTTAAATCCACTAGAACAACCACCTTCAACTGGTGTGCTGCAAATATTTTTAAGACATGCAATACTTGACTATTTAGTCAGGGGCAGTGACCTCTTTTCCCTTAGTTTGTCAAATAAAAACATGACAACAGCCAACACAACAATAGCCATCTGCTGTTAATGAGTCAAAATTATACCTATTTTTTTGGTCAGATCAGCAAAAAACACATTTTTAGTGTGCTGCAGAACTTCAGTAATTTATGTGAAAAAGGTTGAAAATCGCTGCGCTCCAAGATAGTGTGAATCACTTTCTCCAGCTGAGCATGTCATGGGCAGTAGCATTCCCATCTTTAGTAGGAGTCATGAAAAACAAATATTCGTTTTGTTTTATAGATATTAGTCTAATTTTTCTTTCCAAAGGTTGGCATTCTCTTTATTAAAGACTGCTTTTCACCTTGTCTGATACACGTGACCTAGTTAGAACCTTTTCCACTAATACACTAGTAAAATTACATAATTATATCCGATAATGTTGGATCTTGAAACTACTTCTCAAAACTAAAACTGCAATATTTCCAGAAGTTCTTTTTTCAGTAACATAGGCTGTTGAAACAGACAATGGTGGGTTACTCTACATGAATATTTCTCATCGCTGTATTTGATCTGCCTTTGCTTCCCCACCATTTTAAACTCTTGTCCCTAGTAGATGGAAGTTACCTAAGGGACCTTGCATTTGCAATTTTGATGTTTCAGAGACTGTACAAAAAAGGACCTGAAGGGAGTTTCACTCCCACCTTGGGACTCTCTGAATGATGACAATATAGTGACGGTTACGACAATGCTGAGAGCAATAACCTCTACTCTTCATTTGCTGTGTGTCAGGGCCTAGGCTGAGCCTTTTTAGTGTATTATCGCACGTAATTCTTAAAACCTTATGAGGTAGATACAGTTACTATCCTCCTTTAACAGGGAAGATGAGGCCCTGACTGGTGTGGCTCAGCAGATTAAGCACCAGCCTGAGAACCTAAATGTTGCTGCCTCAGTTCTCAATCAGAGAACATGCCTGGGTTGTGGGCCAGGTCCTGGGTTGGGGGCGTGTGAGGGGCAATCAATTAATCGATGTTTCTCTCCCTATCTTTCTCCTTCCCTCCCCCTTGCTCTAAAAATAAATAAATAAATCTTTAAAATATTTTTTTTAAAAAAACAAGTAAAGTGAACTTCAGAGAGCTAGAGACAACATGCATTGCTAGTGAGAGGCAGAATCGGGATTAAAACTCAGTTCCTTTTCAAATCCAGAGTTCATGCTAACTTCTTCATTCAATTTTGATTCAACATGTAGGACACCTACTATGTGTCAAGCATTGTACTAGATACTGTCAAAGGCAGCAGGTGCTCCTGGAAACTAGAACTAGTTTACTTAGTTAACATCTTCATGATATGTCAGCCATCTCTCCACTGTAAATGTCAATATTAGAAGCATCCCTAAGACAAGATACAGAAAACTGGGTGCCCTGAAAAGGAAAGTAAACCACCTTTGAGAAGAATTATGATGTGGATTTTGTTTAAAGCAAGGTTAAAATGGTTTGTGTTACACACTTTTGGAAAGGAACCAGTTAACATGGTTCAATAGTCACAAAAATTTCCATTGAATTTGATAATGTAATTTTTAGAATTCTATTTTAGTTTTGGAAATTTTAAGGAAGTTATATAAAATATGGGAGAAAATTGTATGAATAAAAGATGTTTATGGCAGGGTTATTTATAGTAGCTTAAAGGTAGAAGCAACCTATAAGTCTAAAACTAAGGGAATGATAACAGCCTGTTAATGAAATAATCTGAAGTTATTAAAAGCATAAAAATTATGTAGCTACATTTAAAAATGTACACTTATATAAGACACAGTGAAGAAAACAGAATTCAAATTCATCTGCTATGATTACAAATATGTGTTTTTCAAAGTGACTAGAAGTGAATACTTCAAAATTATATTTGCTATTTGGGGTGAAATCACAGGTAGGGTCTGTCCTCTCATTTTTAGTAACACCACCTTTCAGAACTTCTAAATAATTATCATAATGCTCTGCCTTCAAGACTAGAACGATCAGAACCTACTGCGAGCTTGGGATAACTAGCAAAGACATTGACAGTTATAGGGATGAAAAGCCTTAATCCGAGGATAGTCGGTTGCTCAGAAAACTCAAACAGAAAAATATAATCGCAAAAGAGGAAGCAGTGCACCCTGGGTGACCACACATAGTAATGGTGACAATGGGACTCACCAGAATTCAAGGACATGAATACAGGAAAATGGACATTAAAGCAGAAGACCAAGTTGAAGGGCAGGTGGAACTACATGGCGCCTGGTGTCTACTCTCCCCTAAGGCAGGTTCCCAGGGCCTTGGGCAGAGAGGGGGAGGAGGTCTAGCCAATTCTGCCCTGCGTCAGCCCCTCCACGCTCACAAACACCTCGGCATCCCCGCCTCTCTGATGGCCCACCCCCTGTGGCGCATTCTCCTTCGAGCTCCCGGCAGCCTCTGGGGTACACAATACAGGCACCTGGCACTCTACTGACCACAAAGAGCTCTTCACTTCTTGCAACCTCTAAACAGAGAAAACTCACTGAATTCCGATTCATCGCTGTATTTGATCTGTCTTTGCTTCCCCACCATTTTAAACTCTTGTCCACAGTAGATGGGACAGTTTCCTGATGGACCTTGTATTTGCAATTTTGATGTTTCAGAGACTGTACAAAAAAGGACCTGAAGGGAGTTTCACCCCCACCTTGGGACTATCTGAATGACAACAATGTGGTGACGGTTACGACAATGCTGAGAGCAATAACTTCTACTCTTCATTTGCTGTGTGTCAGGGCCTAGGCTGAGCCTTTTTAATGCATTATCACACATAATTCTTAAAACCTTATGAGGCCAATATAGTTACTATCCTCCTTTAACAGGTAAGATGGTGCTGTAAAATCTTCCGGTGATGATAAACGACTAGATTTGTTGGTCTAAAACCCGGCTGCAATTTCAGGATCACGGTCTCCACCCTATAATTTTGATTTAGTAGGTTTATTTTGGTACCAAAGGATTTATATTTTTAATAAAACCCTAGGCTACATATGGTATAATTTTAATGTTTAACACAGCTCATAGTGCTTTCATTTATGAAAACCAATGGACAGTCTTATCAGAATATTTATTTAAACTGAGTAATATACATTCCCCAACCATGCAAAGACAGAATATTTACTATACCTGATAATCCAGCATGTGGAAGCTTGGAAAAAACTGACAAATTCGGGATTCAAAAAAATAGGGGAAAATCCAGAAAATGGGTAGTTCTTCATGACTGTTATCTGATGGATCACAAAAAAACAGAACCGGAAAATAAAATAAATTGATATTAAAGAAAAAAATAAAACTATAACTGGAAAAATTCTGGTTATCAGAAGAAACTGCAATCATTCAATACACTTAAATCATACTAAAGGAAACAATGCTTAACCAGAGTGCCATATACAACCAGACTTTTCCAAAAGCAATGGAGATGTTCTTTTATACCTAAACCCAGCTACAAAGGTGTGTAAAGTAACTTTTACATACAAACCACGATAGTATACGTAAAGACAGAGATGTTACCAAAAAAGTGGGAAATGCAATTAATTTTTATGAGAGGCAGGGAACAAAGCTATTATTTATAAAGCAACAAGTAGGCCGAGCACAATGCTAGGTATTTTCTCTATGTTATTTCTGTATCCTCTAGAGTCACGTGTTAGTAATCCTATTCTACAGAAGGAGAAAATGAAGCTGCAAAATTCAGGTAATTGGTTCAAGTTATGCAGCTGCTAAGTGGCAGAATTGGAATTGAAGACCACAAAGCTCTTTATTGCTTCCCCAATAACACTGACTTTACCCACTCTGATAAATGACTTAAAAACTGAAAATAAGTGAAATACTTAACACTGTAAGTCCTATTTTAGAATTTTTAGATTTCGTTTGCATTCTATCGCCAAAGCACACTATTTACGTTGCACAGTGATGGCGAAATGTGATCACAAACTCCTGACACTCTTACAACTTATCAATTAACAAACTGGAAACTAAAAAATTATTGTGCAGACTAATTAGATTAACTGGATGAAATACTTTGAAGTCCTAAGCCACTTGAAACTGAATCATCGCCCTCAGCCCTTACCCCACCTCTAGGGCCAGGTATCTGTGTGTCACTGATAACCACTGGCCGGCTACTGGGTGTCTGACGTCCCACCCAAATCTCGGCACAGGTTAGCGCTCTGGGCCGGCGGCTGGGCGCCACCCTAGAGTCTGGGGCAAGACTGGGGCGAGAGGGAATGCAAAGCCCCTGAGGGCAGAGCTGTGGCTGTCTTGTTCACTCTATTCCCAGCACCTACACAGTGGCCATTCAGTAAATACAGGGGAGTGCGAAATTAGGTTTATAGTACTGAGTACAGGAAACAGTTTATTCTTATATTATTATTTATTAATTATTGTATTATTTTCCACATGAGCAACTGTAAACCTGCTTTTGCCCACCCCTGTATTCATGGAAAAAAAGGACAATTCACTGCTCTTCTTCATAATGTCCCTTTACTTATGCCCACCAAAAAAATACATATTTTACCTATGAGCAATTTAAAAAACATGGTTAGGACAATACAAAATGTATCATGCTGATAAAATCAGCCATGTTATCAAACAAGCCTGTTTTTTTAAAAAAAGAGTAGAACCCAAGGCATGTATATTTTATAAGCGCTCTGATTCACTAAGATCTACTATCATTTGACAGAAATTAGATACACAGATATATGTTTATTCTGCAGTAAGTAATAAATTATACACCTTGGCTTTGACCTTTTTTCCACATAGCAATTAACTTCTTGAATGTAACAGCCAGAGGTTCAACCAAGCCACCAAAAGGAGGATCTGTCACCATAATGACTCCTTCACCTTTATCTTCCTGTAAAAACGTTCTGCATACGTCGAGCGCAGCCTGGAACAAATAAAAATTCATTTCCAAGTGAGGACTAGAGGGAGGCACTTCATCCTACCTGGGGGAGAGTGCGTGGGGCTCAGCCTCACTCTCCGGCTGAAACTTTGCCACCCGCTGCCCTGGAGTCCACACTGACATCCTGAAGCCTCTCTCAGCCCCGTCAGATCTTATCTTTGGGTTTCTTGATAAGCAGGTTTTTAAACTTGCAAGTTCAAATACCATCAATATCAGAGGACTACACATTTCAAATGCTTAAATTAAACAACTAAATTTAGTAACCTAAAAGAGAGAAACTCATTACCCATGAAGACCACCTAACACACTAAATTCAATTCAACAAACAGAAGCAGGGACTGTGCGAGACATAAATAAGATATTTTTTTCCTGTCTGGTTTGTCCACCATCATGCGTTCAGTTTAATAAGAACCACAATTAAACATGCACATGTTTTTGAGTATCAGGTAAAATGGCAGACATATTTGAACATGCACAGTAAAAATAAATGAAGGTTCACAAATAACAAAGCTTATCCAGGCTATGAACTGGCTAAAGCACAAAGCATACTATTTATGTAGCACAATGATGGCGAAACTTGATCACAAACTCCTGACACTCTCACACTTTATCAATTAACAAACTGGAAACTAAAAAATTATTTTCCCAACAAACTGGCTAAAGTGTTTTCAGTAATTGCAAAGTTAACATCAACCTCTGTCTAGGATATGTATCACTTTTAGCTTTGGGAGAAGTTACTAAGAGATACATCTATAGTAATAACTCCAGTCAACTGACTTTGTAATAGTTTTCAAGTATGTGCTCATCTATAAAAACAAATCAATACTAACAATATACTAAGTGGCATATGATTTTTAAACTTTACTGATGTTTTAAACTTTAATAAGCCTATATGTACTTTATAATAAATATATATTGTTCTACTACTAAATCAATTTAGAAAACCCAATTAATGAGCAGAACGAACACAACATGCTAATCCTGTATCCCTAGGAGCCCTTGCTAACCTCCCACTGGGAGTCCCACAGCAGAGCAGCAAAGGACAGTGTGCCAACAAGGTGAATCATTCTCCCAGTGCTACCTGGCCCTTTTGCCACCTGCCTACATGAACTAAAGGGCAGATGATGTTTCTGAAAAACCTTTGAATTCCTTAGAGTTAAAAGCAGAAAAAAGAAAATACACACGTAAACTAGGCCTAAACACTTAACCAAACTTAAAAAATACTCAGGATGCCTCTCCAGGTAAGGGTCAAGGCAGTAACGTCCCGTCCGGAGTCCGGAGTCGCCGAGGCCCTCACGGAGGCCGCCCATGGGGACCGACGCTCGCTGTGCCGCCAGAGTTGACCTGGGCTGAACGCTTTCCTCCGTCCCAGTTATCACTACGAAACTGCTTGGCACTTCAAATGCCACTCTCTATACGTACTTCGATCCCCTTTACCATTAAGGCACATGACATTTTTTGTAATCCAAACACTCTATTATTTGCTATTAAAAAGTCTGGTGAGGGAAATGCCTGCTTTTTAATCCAGGGGGCTGTAAAGTGCTAATGCGTAGTGACAGAGACTTATGTCCTCAAAGCTCCCCACACACCTTCACAAGTGCCAAGGACACACAAAAACACTTAAGAGACTGGTAAGAAGAAGGTATACACTGAAAACCTTGACTCAGGGAGTACGCAGGAAAAGGGCAGAGAGTAAATTCATTGAAACAACAGTTTTCTGTAGATCAATCTCTACAGTTACAGTGCTACTTAGAGGCTGTTCCTAAAACACAGAGCGAGGAAAGGCTGAGCTGGACCTATGTTTTCAGCAGGAAGGATAAAGTGGAGCTCAGTCTTGGCCGCTTATTCCAAATGTTACTCTAGAAACTGATTAGGTAACTCTGTAAATTTTCAATAAAAGTTACACAGACTTTCCCAGAAAAAGGCTAATTGCATGTTACTTTCTTGCTCGCCAGTTGGTATTTAAATTGTACTCTTGTAGTTGTTATTCAAAATAAGAAGCAAAGTCATGGTATGGTAAAAGCAAACCACACACCGCTGACCCGCGACTGCAGCATCGAGCAGTCAGAGGCTCGGCTCCTCCCTCATCTGCGCCACCCGCCCTGAGCGCAAGCCCCACGGTCTGAAGAGGCGGCCCCATCAATACTCCTCCAGCCCCAGCAGACGCGCATTCCCAGGCCTCACTTCCAACCATCCCTCCACTCTGCTCCGGTGACATACAAATCCAGGACGCACCACCAAGTCATCCTTGACTTCTCCCCCAGAATGCTTATCGCCTGGTCTTTTTTTGTAAATTGAGGTACAATTCTCAAAAATTCAGGTGTGCATCCTAATGATAATAACCAAGTCTTTTTTTTTCTCTCATCTGTGAAATGCCTACAGAATCCACTTTTTTAAAAAAACTGATTTTAGAGAGAGAGGGAGACACAAAGAGAGAGACAGAAACAGTGATTTGTGGTTCCACTTATTCATGCATCCATTGGCTGATTCCTGCACGTGCCCTGACTGGTGGTTCTCATTTCCTACTTAGTTTTTTGGTCTTGCTTAGTTTTCATTCTATCATTAGCTAGTATCTTAAAGTAAAATATACATATAAGTACGGTTCACAATTTTTAAAAAATTGACACACACATATATGCATGTGTGTGGGTATACTTCAAGTAGTCTTGATAATCCCAAAACATTTTCAAATTCAAAATATCCTGTTAGATGTGACTACTTGGTTGGTTGTGAATTCTATTTTGTAACAGCACTGACAGCTCAAACTGGAGTAGAAGTATCAGCTCTGCTGTGTTGTTTATTCTTAATGACATTAACATCATATTGAAAGGAGCTTTTTTTAAAAAGCCATATCCTTTTTTTTTTTTAAGACTAATTTCTTACAGCAGCTTTGGGTTTACAGCAAAAGTAAGAAGCAGGTACAGAGATTTCCCACGTACCCCCACCCTACACACGCAGAGCCTCCCCCATGATCAACATTCCCCGCCAGAGCGGTATGGCTGCAATTGATGAACCTAAGTTGGTACATCTTTATCACCCAGAGTTCACAGTTTACATTAAGGTGCACTCTTGACACTACTTTTTAAGGATTAACTTAATAAAACCATAAATCCCCTTAACTGGGACATGAAATGTATCAGGGAGGCAGACATAAACAACTATCCGCATGGAATTACTTAATTATAGTATTGTAATTCTAGGAAGGAGAACTTGACCTTGTCTGGGGCTCAGGGAGACTGGAGAAAGTGAACTTGGAACAGAGCTCTGAAGGGTGAGGGAAAGGTGACAAGGCGAAGAGAAAGTAGAGGGCAGAGGGAACAGGCGGGCAGAAGGCCCTCTGGTGGAAAGGTCAGGCCCAGATGAGAGTTCGAGATCAAAGTCGAGTGTCCTGACCACAGACAGCAAGGCAGGAGCAGAGCGAGGAGGGGCTGAAGAGTGGCAGGCACCAGACGACACGAGCCACGGGCGCCTTGGTGAGAACGTGGGTCTTCACCCGAAAAGTAAGCCATGAAAGAGGAATAATTTGACCACTTCTAGATGCTCAATACATACTCAATTAATGAATAAAAATATCTCTATCAATAAATGGTGGAACAGCCACACTTTGATCTTAAAAAGACTTTAGAAAAGTAACAAAGGAGATACTCTTGAATTTGTTCTCCCACAAGTGAAGAGAGAGATAATGGTTATAAATCTTACCTTTCCATCAAAGAAGTGATGGTTAAACATGTTATAATGGCAAAAGCTATCTTCCATATAAAACTGTGAATACCTGTAAAATAATTTATTACTGGAGTTACTTGCCCAGTCATAGTTATGTCATAGAGAAATATAAACTAAATTTTAAAACAATGAAATCACACCTTTAATAAAATCAATTTCATCATTCCTTAAGTGTTCTGAAATAATGCTACTCAAAATCTTAGTTGGTAACAGTGGATAATGAATAATGAACTTAAATCATGTTCCTAAGTTTAATAAATCAGTTATAAAACTATGGAATACTCATACATAAAATACACATGCTCTTATGGACCGGAAGAGTATACATAATCAGGTTACTGGTAGATTATTATGCAGTTTAAGCTTGAGATAGGTTGGCAATTAAAATACATCTCTCAGTTAATAATTCTAAGGAAAATACTAAATCAACATTTCTGCTCAACAGCTACTTATTACTGTATTTTCTTCTTTGATTAACAAAAATATATTTAAAACAAAGTTTTCCTTGTCTATTGCAGATTAGCTCTATAAAATATCTTTTCAATATGTTAAAAAAAGTATTATGTACATTTCATATTTACTGAATTAGCGCCAGGAAAGAGGGATATTTATACAAGGTCTGTCCAGAAGGTATCCAGCCATGTAATATGAAAAACAGAGACATTTATTGAAGAAGATACAAGAAACATTGAACATAGGACAACGACATCTCATTCCCCTTCAAAGTAGGCACCTTGAGACTTCACACAGTTCTCTCGGTCACCATCAGCTGCCTCGTCGTATTTTCCTGAAACTCACTGATGGCCTGAAATCTCTTCCCTTTCAAAGGCGATTTTAATATTGGAAAAGACAGAAGTCGCAGGGCACCAAATCTGGGCTGTAGGGGTGCTGAGGCACCTGGGTGATTTGATGTTTCACAAAAAGACTCTGCATGAGGTGTGATGCATGAGTAGGCGTGTTATTTTGATGAAGCTGCCAATTACCAGTTGCCCATAGCTGCGGCCTTCTGAATCACCCAAATAGTTTCAATGTTCAAGCTTAACAAAAAATCTGATGGAGATTCATTGCTCTATTCGCTCAGTCATTTTGAATGCAACTGCCACACAGTACACATGCTCACTCAACAGTGCCTACTGCCCCCACTGACTAGTATAGTGAAGTTGTCATTGTTCACACACGAGCATTCCAGTCCAGTCTCCTTGGCTGCCAAGTTACATCAATGCCGCAGAAAACGTCCTCGATAACAATGGCTGGACCTTTCCCAGACAGACCTTGTATATTTATTTACTTTTAAAAATATTTAGATGGACATGTTCGCTCTTCTGGGTGGTCTCAGGAGTGCCTCGTTTGCACTGATTCTTAATCTTTGTGAACATCAGAATCACTGGCAGAGCTTTTCCTTTTCTTAAAAAAAAAATAATGTAAATACATACACAGGCACTTGCTACGAAATTTAAAAGGTACAAAATGCTCTCAAAAGCAAAATCTCTATTGGCCCCTGTTCCCAGACATCCAGTTCCCTTCTCAGAGGCAACTGCTGTCCCGGATTTCTGAAGGGAATGGCGTGCGCAAATACCACCTCAGATGGTGCAAAGGGCGGCACACTCCGCATCATTCTTCCCTTCACTTTTTTAGCTTCACAGTAAATCCTGGAGATAGTTGCACATCAGTTCACACAGCACTTCCTCAGTCTTTTTTAAAAAGACACAGAGTATTCATTGTACAACTCTACCAGAGTTTAAAAACTCAAGAATCTTTTTGGACATGTGGCTTATTTCTAATCTTTGCTATTACAATCATTGCTGTACTGTCTACCTTCATGGCCTCTTCATTTCACTTGATATGCACATATCACTGTAGGGGAAATTCTTAGAAGTGAGATTACTACGTCAAAGCGCATGGCTTTCCAAATAGTTACCGCTAAATTGTACAGATTACACACTCCCGTTGGCAGAGTATGAAAGAACCTGGTTATCAGTAGGACTCAAACAAAAATCTCTGGGTGTGGGGCCTGGGCATCTGTACTGCGGGCATCAGAGAGATTCTGAGCCAGGAGCTCCCGGGGGTTCCCTTGACCCCCGGTCTCTGCTGCCCCGAGGGATCTCCCGCAGTGAGGCCAACACGGCTTCCGGGATCGCACCCGTGCTGGTGAGCCTGGCCGGGCGCTGCCAGCCCTGGGGCTGGCGGGGGCGTGGGTGGCAGGTCTTCTACTCCTTGGGGGGTCAGAGCCTTCCCCGCTAGATCACAGCTAGAAAACAGGGTTTTTCCACTTTAATCCAAGTCCCTCATTAGGGTATCAGGGACTGGAACACAGGCCGTGACAGGGTTACAACCACGTGGACATCTTGGAGAAGCCCAGCCTTGATGTGGCCTCTTCTGTAAGCCCTTGGTCATAAGGCTCCTCTTCAGCTTGTCTTCAGCTGGTTAGTCAGGAAGGCTGCTCTATGATTTGGGTGTAATTCCAGTTTGGTGCCGGGAGGAGCTGAGTGTAGCTTCCACCTACCCTGCCACCATCTTGGATCTCCCCTGAGTAATTTTTGTAATGTGTAGTATTTTTATAATACAGACATTAAAGGCCAAAAAATAAAACTGCCAAGAGCTAGACCCACAACAGAACCTGTTAATCTGCCATAGTTGGCTGATGGGGAGGAATAATTATTTACTGATTGAATCACTTTATTCTTCTAACATACTACTTTATTTACATTTTTTAAATGTACTTTTGTTTAAAAATTTTTTTTGCAATTACAGTTGACATACAATATTATATTAGTTTCAGGGGTAGTAATATAGTACTTTAATACATCAGCAATGAATGAGAGTACCAGATTTGGGTCTTAACATTTTACAAATTTTTGCTAATTTACTAGGCAAAATTCATACTACATAACTTATTTGATTTCTTGTAAGACTGAGATTTCTTTATTCCTTCAGTGTTATTTTACCATCTGTCTCTGATTTCTCCACTTATGTATATGGTTCTCAATATTTTTCTGAATTTTTCTTATATTATAAAAACCTCATTTTTATCTCAATAAAACTTTGAATTTGGACAATTTTGTTATGAACAATTCACATATGAAACACATTATCCTTCTATGGAACGCATAACCTAGTGGCAAGACTGAAGAAAGTCAGGGACATATGACTTCCTTATACGACTCGGTTGACCAGAGCACGACAGCACCGTTCCACGGCGCCTACTGCTAGTCTCAGTTACCCATGACTGTCTACCACGGGTTTGCCGCCCATGGTGAGTAGTATAATGGGCATCCCTGGCTTACCCTCTTCCTGCTACCCTGTGGTCAAGGGCACAGGCTCTACAATCTGATGGCCTGGTTTCAAACTCTGGGTTTCACTTCTTAGCTATGCAGCCTTAGTAAGTTATTTAACCTATCTGGGCCCCAGTGTCTTCACCAACAAAATGAAAAACGTAGTTTCTCTATAGTAAGACTTGATAAGAATAGATGAGATATTGTATGTAAAGTGCGTAATACAGCGCCAGCTACAGAGCATATACTGAAATGTTAGGTATAATTATTTCAATGAATACCAGGTATAAAGATTTCTTGTCTTAATGTCCCTAATATTAGGGAATTATGTTTAGGTCCAACAATATCTCCCCTCCTATAATCTAAACTGTTTCTCCTTCTGCGGAGACAGAACAGCTGTTCACTGTTCTCAATATGTTATCGCTTAATATTATTGAAGACATTGTCAGTACGTCTGCTAATTTCATAAAACAAATTTCCATTGGAGAAATAAACAAAAGGTTTGGATAAATGAAAAATATATAAACAATATACAGTAGCTTAACATTCCAAAAACTGTGAAGCAATGTCAATTACCATTAATCAACAAATGTCCTCCTATTTATCTAAATTCCAAATAGCTGATAATATACAGAGGTGAGCAAAATTAGGTTAATAGTTGTTTGTATGGAAAAATATATAATACAAGAATAAATAATAATAATAGAATAAGCTCTATGTTTCATGTACTCACAATTATAACCCTACTTTTGCCCACTCCTGCATATATCTTATTTAATGAACATATATCTATCAATACTAGTACAGCTGTGAGTCATCTATCATTTGAGTTTTCTCTTGCATTTCTTTGTGTAAGCAAAAAAAAAAAAAAATACAATCCATATTTAAATATATTCCTACTTTGTCTCCATTTTTATTGCTTCACAGTAACACAATAGTCATTTTTTTAAATTAAAAAAGAAAATTTTGTTTGCAAAAAATTAAACATAGCACGGTTGTCCAAAACTTTCTGGGCAGCAGTGTGTGGAGCCAGAGAGAGAAAAAAGCCTGGATTTCAGCTGTAAGTTTCATCAAATACAAACAAGGGAACATAATTATTCATATTTTAAATTATGAAAAATAACTCCACATTACCCTCTTAAAATGAAATGGGCCACAAAGAATTATTCTCTCCATTGAATAAGGCAAACAAAACCAATCAGAAATGCATGCACTTGCAAACTGCTCAAAAGGACATTCATTTATTTTGGCCATTCATTCTCTTTAAATAAGTCAGTTACCAAGTGTGAAACATGCCCTACACACAGGAAATGTAATCAAGAGCTGAATAAAATCAGTTCATGAAATGAACCCAAGAAATCCATTTTTTGGATATAATTTTATTTGGATGGTAGTTTACCAAATAGAGTTTCACATCTTTCATGCTAAAATTAGAGCATATAGAAATCCATCCTAGCAAATATTAACTTTATATCTTAGACCTCCTGAAAAGGATATTTATCTAAACAGAGTGCTGGAGTTGAGGCAGCTCTCTGCAGCCTCGGACAAACGGTTCATAAGGCAACAACATACCAAAGTCAAAGCTCCACAAGTAACTATTCACTGCCACTCTGCACCACACAGGAATTTTTTCCTGACTGAACTGTGAGAAATCTGAACCAACCACACACTCCATCATAAATACAGGCAACAGAATGAATGCATTCCGGCTACTCCATGTCTCAATGAACCAGCTCTCTCTTAGCACCCAATGTTGACCTTTTGCAGAACTGACTCAGTAACAGAGTACGGGATGAAAGAAACTAAGCTGGGATATCCTTAGTACAACACCTTTGGCTTTTATTTGTAGCTCACCCACACACAGGTTTACAGACAGGAAAAAAAGGTATCAGTGAATTCCATTAGTTATAAAATAACTTTATCCAAATCCCCTACAGCCAACTCTAACCAAGAGACTTCAACTCCAGGCTCAAGGAAAGCAAAAACCACAAGGTACGGCATTTAAGGCAAAAGAGTTAAGGAGCCATTTAAATCTTTCAAATAAAAATCAGCTAAGATGAAGACAGTTCTGGAGGATGGCTGCACACTGATGTATATGTACTGCACTTACTTAGCTCTAATGAACTGTACATTTAAAATGGTGACCAAAGTAAATTTTATGCTATGTGTCTTTTGTCACAATTTTTTTTTTTACAAAGGTAAACCAGGGCAATAGCAATGAATGATACAAAACGATATTAAGAAAACAATTTACAGTAACAACAAAGAGAATGAAATAGGAATAAATTTAACAAAGGATGTGCAAGACTTACCCCCCCCCCGAAAAGAGGTAACATGCACACACACAGACAACAGACGTGCACGCCCGGGGGAAGGCCGTGTGAGGACACAGCGAGGCGGCGGCCATCTGCGTGTCAGTGAGAGCGGCCTCGGAAACCAAACCAGCTGACACCTTGCTCTTGGGATTCTAGCCTCCAGAACTGTCTGAAAATAAGTTTCTGTTGTTTAAGCCCCTCAGTCTATGGTATTTTGTAACAGGAGCCCTAGCAAACTAATACGATACCCAAGAGATATGAAAACATATGTTCACACAAATTGTACACAAATGTTCACAGCAAACATTATTCATAATAGCCAAAAAGTGAAAGGGACCCAAGTGTCCATCAACTGGTGAGTGGATAAACAGAATTTGGTATATCCATCCACTAGAATATTATTCAGCCAAAAGGAGGAATGAAGTACCGATGCACGCTACAACATGGATGAACCTTGAAAGTATTATGCTAAGCGTGAGAAGCCAGGCACTGAAGGCTGCATATTATATGATTCCAATTATATGAAATATCCAAAAGAGACAGAAAGTAGATTACTATTGGCCAAGGGTTTGGGGAGGGGAAAATGAAGAGAGACTGCCTATTGGGAAAATGTTCCTTGCACAGGTGAGGGGAACTGTCCTGGAATTCAATGGTGGTGATGGTTGCACGACCCTGTGAATACTAAAAATGTGTGTAAAATACACCTCAAAAAAATGTGCCTAAAATACAACAGGGGGAAAAAAAAGAGTAGAAGTTATGATTCTAATTCTCGAAAATCCTAAATGCATTTTAAAAAGTCTAAAAAGTCAGAATCCAAACGCTTAGGGTGACAGTATTAAAGATCATGTTTCCTTAAAAATGAAAAAAGGAAACCAGGAATCCTTGGAAATTGAACAAATTCTTCGAGATGAAACACTATGATTTTTTCCACTTCTTTTGTGTATAAACCAGTCCAACACAATTAGTGGAAAAAGCTTGTCTTTAATGAAATCACATCCATTATGTAATTTATAATGTAACTTCAAAAAACCAAACTATTGGAAAGGCAACACTACCATTTTAACTGAAGTCAGGTACCAAAGATAGGAACCTTAGTGCTCCCAACAGCTGATATGTATTGTCTTAGATAATTCACTTGCGTACATATGATTTCTTTTGTTTGTCCTCCAGCAGCTACATCTCCCCCATTTCCTGTGGAGAGTCCGCCTCACGTGGCTGGTCAGGGGCTGGCCAGAGCGCCTACCTGTGAACCTACCTGCCCGGCCACAGTGCTGGCTCTGGAATGTGCGCACGACCCCAGCCAAGCTAAGCAGGCGACTCCCTGGAGTCTGGCTGCTGGAGCCCTTAGGAAAGACAGCCTCCTTCTACCGGGCGGTTGGGTTGAGACGGAGGCCCCCGGCAGTATGAAGACGGCTGTCTGGAGAATAAGGCCAACGCACAGAGAAAGACGGGTGAGAGAGAGAAAGGGGCCCAACAGCACCGCGTGAGGCCCAGGACCTCGGCTGGACTAAAGCCTGCTACATCCTAGGCGCCAGTAATGAATTTTCTAATGAGAGAGAGACTCCTGACTAATATGAATGTCTTATGCCAAATATATGAATAAAGTGGAAACCAGTTAACTCATTTGCAAACCGCTGTGGAACAAGGCAGGGGGTAGACTCAGAAAGAGAAAAACAGAAGGATGACAAGAGGGAAATGGACTACGTAAGAAAGGCTTATACACCATTTCAAAAGCAAAGTTACTTCCAGAGGATAACTTAATTTTTGGAGCCAGGCTGACTAGGTTCAAATCCTGACTTGGTGACTTATAAACTGTGACTCTGGTCAAGTTATTTAACCCCTTTGTACCTCAGTTTCCCCATCTGGAAAGTAAGAATGATAAAAGCATCTGTCTTCTAGGGCTTTTGTGAGGATCAAATGAGTTAGACCACATGACAAGCACTCCATAAATACCAGTTCTTGTCAATAACTGGTCGTTAATAACTTATTGTTCCTAAGAATCCAAAAGTTAAACTTATGCCTCTAAAGTAAACATTTATAATAATTTAACAATAATACTACCTTAGGAAAAACATGGTAATTAAAAGAAGAAACTAATATCTATACAATAGATTATACAGCCACAAAAGAAATGAAGCACTGTTACATGCTATAATGTAACATGCAGGAACCCTGAAAACATGCTAAATGAAAGAAGTCAGAAACACAAGACCACACACTGTCTCATCCTGTGTATACACAATACCCCAAACAGACAAATCCATGGAGACAGAAAGCAGATGGGTGGCTGTCAGGGGAGGCGCATAAGGAGCTGCTTTTTAGTGTTCTGGAAGTAAACAGCGATGGCGGTCCTAAAACACAATACGGCAAAACTGCTGAAATACAAAGTTTAAAATGGTACATTTTAAGTAAATCGTATCTCAATTTAGAAAAATAAACTCAGTTTATCTAGAGGAACTCTTGTCTTGCCACTTATGGAACTCGGTTTTGCCAAGGATCACTCACATCAAGCAGATACCCGTAGACTGATAGCCCTGTTAATAAGGAATGAGTGGCCCACAAAGTGTGGGTTACTTCTGAGAAACGTAGCTGCTTAGTTAGACAGCCTAAAGGTGACTTGCAAATCCAAAGGAAAAAAATCATAAAAGCTCTATTTTTTGACTTTTTCACTTTAAAAATCTGCTTTTTAGTGAGAAAATTCAGTGAAAAAAATATGTAATTTCATATTTTCTCCAACAAATATTGGAATATTAGCCAAATAGACTCTAACAGATTAAATAAATAGAAACACAAGCTTAATTCCTTCAATACATTCAAGAACAAGGGAAAGATACTAAAATCAAGGTATCCTATAGACTCACCAAGAACTCCTGGAATTCAAAAAATGACAGAAACTAGGAAGAGTACTTCAAATTTATAGAATTACAGACACTGTGGATAAACATTTTTTTTTTTTTTTTTTGATTAAAGCCTTTTTATTGCCCTCGGAGTCCCCTGCTTTCTGAGGCCGCCTTCGGTTGCTGCAGGGCCCTAAGGCCAGGGACCCAACAGCGGCAGCGGAGCCAGCTGGCTTAGCTGGTGGATGGCTTGGCCCATTCGACGTTGAGAATGAGGTGGTCGTAGCCGAAGCTGGACACCCCAGCAATGGCACGGGCAGCATCCTCTCGGCGATGGAAGCTGATGAAGGCAAAGCCCTTGGACTGCCCAGTGGTTTTATCCTTTGCCAAGTAGATGCGGGAGATGGAGCCAAAAGGTCTAAAGAGCTCTTGGAGGTCTGTCTCACGGGTGTCCTCTGACAGGTTGGTGACACGGATGGTGGCACTGTCATCGGCTCTGCGGTTGGGCTGCATGGACTCCCCACGGCGGCTGGCCCCGTCCCGCAGCCTTGGTGGCACGTACTTCCCCATCTTGTTCTGGGCTGCCTGCACAGGCTCCAGCTCTCCAGGCAGTTTCTCCTTCTCGCCGGTAGACAGGCCCAGCTGCTCAGCTAGCTCCTTCTGCATGGGCCCCAGCGTGTCCTTGTAGGGGCAGCGTGTGGTCCAGTGGTCACCATTGCAGATGCGGCAGGACACGATCTTCTGCCCCTTGAGCTTGTTCATGGGGTCCTCCTCCTCCTGGCAGTTCAGATCCTCCTTGCTGATGATAAAAGTCATGGACACATCATCACTGACTGTGGTGGTGGCCACATTGGGCCCTGGCGGGTCAAACTCTGAGTTCCCAAACTTCCTCCAGTTCTTCCTCCTTGCAACAGCCTTTGAGGCCTTCCAGGTCTCAATTCTGAAGGTGCGGACAATCTTGAACTTCTTGCCATCCTCATCTATCTTATACTCGGTCACTGTCTTGATGTTTCCATTGATGACCTCCTTAGGAGGTGGAAGTGGAACTCCTGGCAGTAGCTCAGGCTCTGGGCTGGTGTCGCCAGTGGCCAAAGGGATCCCTTTGAGGAGTTCACTGGTGACACATTTGTCATCCTCTCCCTCCTCCTCAACCTGGTCGGCCCAGCTGGGCTTCAAATCAAAGTCTCCAGTGGGCATTGCAAAACCTTCTCCACGCAGCTGGAGCCCAGCCAGAGACTGTGCTCACCATCTAGTGTTACAAACCAGAAGTCTATCTTCTAAATTATCACCAGACAAAAGATTCAAGGTGTGGTCCTCTTTCTGTCTTAAATCCACTTGTTGCAACGTGACCAGAAGCCACTGAATTCTGAAGCTTTCTGCCTGCTGTCCTTGGCATTGGGACCTGTCTATTCCCTAGCTGGCTCTCCCTTCCCTGGGGCTATGTCCAGTGAAAACAACATGTACATCATCTGGTAAAAACATTAAAGCAAATGTCTTACCATCTTACCGCACTTAAAACATCACAATGAAGCAAACTCCTGGAGGAAACTCAGAATTATCTTTGAAAACAAGTATATGAGAAGAAATTTCTCTCAATAGGGATTTACTCTAAATTATAAGCCAAAGAGAACTAGGCACATTCACAGAGAAAATGTAGGAAGCTCACTAGCAAAAAGAGAAATTCATTGCCTGTTTGAAACATGGAAGATGACACAAGGAGTTTATGACTAAAAAGGTAGCTTGTAAGCAACTACTACTTCTAAGTGACAGCTAGGATTATCACAGGGATTTAAAAAAGGAAAATATTAAAAAGAAACAGGAGACAATGAATAAGAATAAATATTATAATTTGTAAACCTACCGAAAATCAATATCCAATAAAAGGCTTTTAATGTGAGAGTTCTTGTCACCTGACGCTTTCAACCTGATCAGCTCATGCAACCTAAAGCAATTAATGAAAGCAAATTTAATAAGAAATTACAAATGCTATACATAATAAACAAATAAACAAAAAAAATCAATATTCTCTTGATATGTCTACTATTTCAATGAAATGCCTAAGAGATATCACCAAAGTTTGTTTTACAAATATTTTTTAAAACACAGAACTTATCTGAAACAGAGAAGTCTAAAATCATAAACAATTTAAGAATCAGATCAGAAAGACTCTCCTGCCATTGCTGGTGTGGTTCAGTGGACTGAGTGCTGGCCTGTGAACCGAAAGGTCACTGGTTTGGTTCCCTGTCAGGGCACATGCTAGGGTTACAGGCCAGGTTCCCAGTAAGGGGGTGCATGAGAGCTAACCACACATTTATGTTTCTCTCCTCTCTTTTTCCCTCCCTTGCCCTCTCTCTAAAAATAAATAATCTTTAAAAAATTAAAATTAAAATTAAAAAAAGAATCTCCTATCGTATATCAGAAATCTATAAAGATTTCTCTCAAATGGAATACAGACTGCAAGCTGCTTAAGAGGGAGCATGCTTTATTACTTCTTTGGATACTCAAAGCTTTATGAGATATCTATATCTATCTATCTATCTATCTATCTATCCTGGAACTTGGAAATTTTTTCTTGTAGTTTAAATAGTGGTGCCAGCAAAAGTTTTTAAAAAACCATATAACATACCTTGGTGTTCCAACACACAGTACTCTTCTGAACCCAAGGTTAGAAAGTAGGCCGACCAAGAACTGACAGCTCCTATCCGCAAACAAATATTGGGCATTTGTCTTCTTATTTTCCAACGGAGAAAGGAGCCGACTGGGCCTTTTTAACTGGGTGATAGAAATATCACCCTTGACCTGATGCTCCTGATGCTCCTCCCAGTCACCTGGCAGCAGCAACTGCTGACATCTCTGACAAAACTTCCTCTGAGACAATGGCAACTCAATGAACTTCAGGTACCTTCAAGACACAACAAAACACAAGGAATATATTTTAGGTTTGTTGTTTTAAAGACAATTTATTTTTGCTATTTTAATATGCAAAAAAGTATCATTATTTCTTAAAGAGTATTGCATAAAGTAGCAAAGGTAAGAAAAATCTATGGAATGTCGGCTAGAATTTATGTCTGGCTGCTTGCCTACAAAGTGGAAGAGAATCAGCAATTTCTTAAGAATTGAGATGCTCCAATTCAGTCACTGAATGAAGATCAATATCCATTTAAAATGTGAGCATAATATATTACTCAAACAACTTAGTAGTAATGGAGACTACTATCATGTTTAAATTTATTGACAAATCTATTGACAAATCTAACTTTGAAGTGTTCAACAGTCTGGCTCAGTATGATAGTCATTTTAAAATGAGAAATTAAGATCATTCTTCAAGTTCTTATGGCATACTTAGCAAGAAAAATTACCTCCCAAGGAAAAAAAAAAAGAAAAAAAAGAAAAATTACCCCTTAAAAGAAAAAAATGTTCCTACAACACTCCTCTATTCTTAGCAATACTGATGAAGGGAGAAACTCATCCCCGAACAGCAAGCTGATATTTGAAACCTGAAAAAAATACATATTGGAATCCCATTTGCTTTCTTTCAAGTCATCCTTATATCTGATTTCAAAGTTACCACTTTGGTCTTTTTTTTTTCTTTGTTCTTTTTATTTGGAATTAGTAAAAAGAGAAAGTAATCACAGTTAGTATGTTTTAAAAAACTGCTGACTTTGTACATACTATCCCAGCTATGAAATCAGAGTAAGAAAACAAAAGAAAAATAAGGAAGATTATTGAGCCTCATAGTGGATCAGCAATGCCCAAATCTAAGGATGATGGAAGTAAACTCTAGAGCTGCCCTGGAAAAACTGAACTTAATGGAGAATCAAAGTGGGTTTTAAAACTTTTTATTTCTGAGCACAGTTTCACTTTGAGCACCCACGGCGGTGACAAATAGGTATTCTGGATGGCTGCAGCAAGAAATAAGCTTATCATGCCAGTAATTTGAATGTTTCTATTTCTAGGATAACTGTTCTTTTGACAGTTTTATCTACGACTGGAAAGAAAAGGACAGTGACATTGGAAGAACTTTTATAGGAATTCGGAGAATGTCAGTAGAGAAAAGCAAGCACCCCCGCGACACGAAATGCAGGTGGGAGGACCGACACACTGCAGCCACAGAGACACTGCCCTCCCCACGGTCCCCTTTCATTACTGCATGTTAAGTGTCAAAGACGTTCCCACCCAGCCATGACAGAGGGAGAGACCAGATTCACCACCCTGACCCTCAAACATTTTTAAATAGACAAAATATGTGAAATCACAATTTGAAGACACTGGACAACAGGCAGCCCTACAGGGAACAGTAAGAGAACAAATGAGTGAGTGTGTGCCTGCCCGGCTTACAGCAGACCCCCATGATCCTCGGGGGTACAGCCAAGAGCCCCCACTGGATGCTTGAAACCGTGGATAGATCGGATCCTATGTATCTTATGTTCTCTCCTATAAAAAGCGTACCTAGGATAAAGTTTAATTTCCAAATTAGGCACAATTAAGCGATTAACAACAATAACTGATAATAAAATAAAAAATTATAACAATATAGTGTAATAAAAATTTATATAAATATAGTCTCCATTTGTCTACAATAATTTTTATATTTATAGTCCAATCCTATTCCTGAATCTAGATTTACTAAGTTGGCTAGAGCTGCCAGTCTTATTGAACAGAAATGGTGGGAGCGGACACCTTGCTATGTCCCAGTCTTAGGAGGAATACATTCAACCTTTTATCAGTATGGGCTTAGCTATAGGTTTTTCTTAGATGCCCTTTTTCAGGGTGTGAAAGTTCCCAACTATTCCTGGTTTTCTGAGAATCTTTATCACGAATGAATGTTTGATTTTGGACTTGGAAGAACTCAAAGTGTATAGTTACATAACCTGGTCCTTATTGAAGAACCTGCTGGACAGCGGCCCCAGGCAGAAAGGGCAGCTTACAGACTGGAGCATCTTGAGAGGCCTCGGACAGATTTATCTAAGATAAAACCAAGAGATTATACTACATCTGAGTGTTCTGAAAGGATTCAGATGACTAACAGTTGACTCAGTGATAAGCACATAAATAACTAATAGCAGCTACAACAAAAAATCCAAGACTGTTATTAACTCCAAGGAAAACAAAAAGCTGTGTAGGAAAGAACTTATTATGATTTATTTCATGGTTCAGCTATGAACAACATTTATATGGTTCTACTAATGCAAACACTAAATTCTGAACCTAACCAAATTCATGATATACCTATGTAAGAATAAGGTATGAAAGTGTATGGATCATAGCTGGGGCGGGGGAATTGGAGGGGAGAGGGCAGAGAGGGAAGGGAAAGATAAATCCTCATCTTCCCTATGAGATAAAGAGACAATTCCAAAAACTGATAAATCAAGAAGTACAAGAAAGGCATGTTTTGCATCCTACAGACAGGAAGATGAATTCTAAAAGAATTCTCCAGGAGAGGAGCCGACTGTGGCTGCTTCTGGGGAGGGGAAAATGCATGGATGGAAACAGGCGTCTTGCTCTTTACAAAACTTCACAGGACTTTTTGATTTCATTGCCAAATACAGGCTTCATTATTGAAATTTAATTCACATACCACACAATTGCCCCTTTAAAGCGTACGATTCAGTGGTTTTTAGAACACTTATGAAGTTGTGCAACCATCCCCACAATACAATCCCAGAACATTTTTATCATCCCAGAAAGCAACCCTGTACCCATCGGCGGTCACGCCACAACCCCCCGCCCCCAGCCTCTAGGACCCACTAATGTACCTTCTCTCTGTACCAATTCGCCCATGGACTTCTCATGTCAATGGAATCATATAATAGCATATATAAGTTTTGATTTAAACAATTTTTGTTAAAAAGGCTTTTACTTAAAAAACAAAAATTGCTAGAGGATGACTTTGGCTAAATAGGAGATGAATGAAGAGACTACAGCCAACGGGCAGTCAGTTAGTACCGAACCCATTTAACCACTGAATAAAAGCAGAAACAAACATGGGTGTTACACTCACAGTACAAAATGTAAAGGAAATAATTCAAACAAAAGTGGTAGGGGAAGGGGATGAGAGAGTGGCAGATAGTGTTAAGTATGGCGATGTTCGCATGTTTTAGAGCCAGAGGCCAAATGATGTAAAAGAGCTACAGAGATCTTCGAAGGCATAAAGGTTAACCCTAAAAAGAAATAATCAACTAAAATCAGTGATTGAGAAAGAGATAGGAAGAAGAATTATACTAGGTTCATCATTTCTCATTTTTACATGAAGACTATCTTTAAAAAAAGGATTAAATATGGCATAGAAAGTTACTAGGGCAAACATTACAACAAAAATATAGAAGCATACATTAAAACACAGGCCACATATAGTGAAAGGGAAAAGAAGCAGTAAAAACAGAAAGCTAGAATAATACAGCAACACCAAGACAAAGCATAGCTATTATACCCACTATGAAAATGGACTGAATCCACCCATTAAAAGAAAGCCTGCTGGGCCCCGGCCGGCCGGCGCGGCCCGCTGGACTGCCATCCCCACACCAAAAAGATGCAAGGCTGATGCCGGGCCAGGGGCGCATTCCTAGGTTGCAGGTTTGGGCCCCAGGCAGGGTGCCTATGGGAGGCTACGGATCCGTGTTTCTCTCTCTCCTTCCCTCCCTCCTCTCTCTCTAAAAAATCAATAGACATCCTCAGGTGAGGATTAAAAAAAGGAAAGAAAAGAAAGCCTGTTGGATTGGATCACAAGGCAAAAACCAACCATCCTATTTCATTACTTCCAAGAAAACATTTTTTTTAAAGATTTTATTTATTTATTTTTAGAGCGAGGGGAAGGGAAGAGAGAGGGAGAGAAACATCGACGTGTGGTTGCCTCTCGCAGGGGCCCGGCGCGCAACCCAGGCACGTGCCCTGACCAGGAATCTAACCAGCAGCCCCCCCAGTTCGCAAGCCAGCGCTCAGTCCACTGAGCCGTACCGATCTGGACCACGAAACCTATTTTTTCACATTTTAGCATGTATGATATTGACTTAGGATTTATAATTGCTGTCAGCCAGACAGAGGTCATGATGTGGGAGGGAGTGTCCACCCACGTGCAAACTTGGTCCCAGCTCCGCACTATCATCTCTTCGATGCAGGGCTGAGCATCCTCGAACGACAGAGAGGGTGTCTCCGCTCTCACCCGATGACTCAGTCGCGAAACACAGAGTTAGTGAACATGCAGTCAGGCACCAAAACTGAGCGACAGAGCACATGTTTGGTATCGCTCAAAGAATGATGACAACCAGCAAGAGCTTCAGAGGGAAAAGGACAAGGAGAGTCCCCAGTAGATGAAGTTGTCAGGTTCTCTGATGCCAACTAAAGGCAGAAGCTGCAAAATCACCAGGAAGAGACAAAATAAAGCCCAAGGCAGTGAGGGGCTAGTGCGACAGTTCACTCACTATATGGGACTATCTTAAGGTGTTAAGTTTAATTATTTTTAAAACACTGTTAAATGCACCTCCACTTATATATCTTTGTGCTTTGTCAAAACTGTCCTTCAGAAAGCTTTATTGCTTGTTTATCCACCATCTCTTGGCAAAAGATAAACTGAGATCGTGTGCGTATTTCTCTCTATTCCAAATCACAGCATAATCAATCAACTACACTGCTTTAAATTTAACATTCAGACACATAGGTGTTTTTTTATTTTTTGTTCTTGTTAGACCATAGTTTTAAATTTTATCTTTCAATTACAGTTTACATTCAATATTATTTTGTATTAGTTTCATTTTTTTTTTTAAGTTGAGTTGCAGGTGTCCATCATAGTGGTTAGACGATCATATACTTTACAAAGTGTCCCCCTGACATTTCCAGTACCCGCCTGGTACCATTCAGTTATGACAATATGACTGACTATATTCCCTGTGCTGTATTTACGTCCCC